AGAAAGGGCTGTGAAGCCTTGTTAAAGTCTCATCAGTCTGGGGTCATCATAACCTTGGAAGATGGCAAGTATAGAGGCAATTTAGTCAACGGGAAGAAACAATTGTTCGTTTCCTAGTGCATGCATTTAATCACGAGCTGTCACTCGGGCCTCCTGTTAAAGCCCAGAAAAGGTTACCTGGTGGCAATAATTGGGAAATGTCTTAAAAGAGAAAGCGGAGTAACGAGACACAGAAGCCAAGAGATGTTGATAGCAGAAATATGCCTTAGCAGGGAAAAAATAAGTCATGAATAAGCGGATGAAAAGGGTGAAGGGCTGCCATTTCCTTTATTTTTAAGTTCCTCCCTCTAGTTTCTCGTTTTGTACATCTGAGGCCGGCCTTTCCATCACTGTAATCCCACTATTACTTTGTATTTATTCGGTGCTTATCTCCTAGAAGTGCACAGGACTGCCTCGAAATCCATGCAGCTTTAGAAGGTGTTGCTTCACAAAAGGGGAATGCTTTCATTTAATCACAGTCACATCATTAAATGTTGTAGCGGGAGCTTGGGGTTGGATTCGCTTAAGGTCTGCCGCTTGCTTATTGCTCTGCATACGTGTATTCCGCAGTTCCACAGTTGCCCAAGAAAGAGAAACCATGAGGTTAGGATTTTGCATCTGGGAGCCAGGCCTGCCACCACCATTTGCTTTCAACTGTGATTCTAATCTGCAAAGAATTATCCAGCTTTCTGATTTACCTTTTTGACTGTTGGTTGTCCCTGAACTATTTCTGCTGATGATCTCTCTATTTGGAAACTCTCTCAGTCTACCTACAGAGCAATTTGCTTGAATCTTAAATCCTGGCTGCTTCTGCTATGCCCGCCAATTTACATTTGTTAGCCTGTTATTGCAGAATTTCATTTGATCATATTTGTTTCCTGAGGTTTTTGCTTCAGAGGAGTAGAATTGAGTGAACAATCATTCTCCTCGATGGAAGGAGATGGGTTTGGAGATGAACATATTTCAGTGGCTCCTTAGGAAATTTTTGTTGGATATTTTTTATTCATTTTAGAAAATGGCATGCTTCCAGTGCACCGCTAATTCAATGAGCGTCAATTTAATTTCCTTGGATCCACTGGAAGTTAGTTTCTCTACATTTTTCATCTAACTAAAAATGGACTTTTGGTAAAAATAAGATGGTTAAGAATAATGCCTTTTTCATGTGCAACTCTAATGAAAGGCTCTCAACAGCCTAGTCCATTTTATTTCCCTACCTCTACCTCTTTTTCCTTTTCTTGAGTTTCTTCCTTCCTGGTTCCCCTCTTAGAAACTAGGAGGACACTGGGCTCATTCACAATTACGAAGACGTATACAAGTCAACTAGGAGGCAATGACTGAAGACGTTATGAGCCCTTGATAATTTATAAATTGTTATTTTGTCATATCTTGTCCTGTCCGACGTCTCCCTTCACCCACATTTCTGTTGTCCGTCCCCCAGGGAGGATTTTTTTAATTCACTGACATTTTATCATATCACATACACATACACACACATTTGAAATGAATAGTGACAAGCAGGCCAAAGTGCCAGTGTTTTCAGTGTGATTATAAAGCCAAAATGAATATGCTATTGTTATTGTGAGGGATACCATGTGTAGCAGGCTTGACTTTCTGTGTGCTGAGTAGACAGACATTATACAAAGTTTGCTGGTAGGTGCCTAAAAATAGCCCTTTTCATTACATTACAATGTCATATGTGATAAGAACTCTGATTAGAAGGTACTTAGTTACTATGCACCCTGCTTTGTTTATTCTAGGACTCAAGAAGGATTCCTAAAACATCACCACATAGCAATGCAGTCATTACAATGATCTATTTGGGGAAAAGTGTGCACCTTGCTTATGATGGCTCCGACTTCGGCGATGAAATAAAAGTGTACCAGCAGCACTGCGGCGGGGAAAACCTCTGCGTCTACAAAGGCAGACTGCTTGAGAAAGGTACACAGAAAACCCGATTTTTTTCATTGTTTGGAGTTGCTGGCACCAATAAGCTGTTGTTGATATAATATCAAAATAACTTCAATCACTTTATGAAAGTATGCACATTCAGGGAGGTATAAACCAGCCACCTAAAAGTAAATCTAGATTTATGGTTCCATGATTGAAACTGAAACAGCAATTACTCTTGTAGATGCAGAAAAAACAAACCTGGAGTGATTTAACTTGGTAACAGATTAATTCGGGGATAGAGATATATGATCATTAAAATGTTGCACAAAGAAGCTGTCCCCCGAATTGCAAGTTAACCATTTGGCTTGGCATACTGAATTATGCCATACATTATTCTAAGAGAAAAATACCAGATTGGCAATTTGGTCTTTAAAGGTACATTGAGATAAAATCTCAAGTCCAATAAATTTCAGGGTGAATCACACCTAAATAACTCGGTGCAGAATTTGACCAAATGTCTTCGAAGTATATTTCTGCTTTCATTTGGTCATAAATCTGTGTTTGTGAACATATGATAGTTTTATATCCAATATATGTTTTCACATACTGTATTGAAATGTTTTCTTCCACTATTCAGTTCTGTGGAGCAGCAGTTCAAAAGAAGAGGTGTCAGAATTATATTTGCCACTTCCTTGCCTGACAAACTGTATAGAAAACAAGACTACATTTAGTAATGAAAAGAAACGGCTATATTTGGACAATCTTCAGTTATTGTGGGTTTGGGCAACAGTTGGGAACAGGAATGGAGCTGGCCCTTCTGATGTCCCCGATCAATCGCGAGCCACCTCCACCACATTCACCAGCACCACCAACACTGCCACCAGCAGCCAGGTGGTTTGTTCTGAGTCATGGTCACCCCATGTGTCAGAATAGAACTTTGCTCCAGAAAGCTTTCTTTTCAATAGATTGTTTTCAGAAGTAGACCAATAGGTCTTTCTTTGAAGGCATCTTTCAGTGGACTCAAAGCACCAACCATTCTGCTAGCAAACAAGTGGATTAACTGTTTGCAAAAACAGTGACAATTTACTTTTAACAATCAAGAACTCACAGGAAATACATAAACTATATATTTGGGAAAGTACATATTTAAAACAGTCCAGCATAAGGACGTGTAAATGCTTTCATTGTAGTTTTAGTTCAAAGTCATCTATTTGATATGCTGTTGAATCCATTCCACTCAGAGTGATCCTAGAGGCCAGAGTGGAGCAGCCCCATTGGGTTTCCAGGGCTGTAATCTTTAGGTATCAAACAGTCACATTTTTACCTGGAGGAGCAGCTGGTGAAGTCGAAGTACCAACCTTTTGTTTAGCAACCAAGCACTTAACCACTGTACCACCAGAGCTCTTAATAATATGCAATGCAAAGCTCAGTAATGATTAAAGATGCCCCTCTCTTCATTTCATGTTGGCTGAAATGGAATTGAGTTGGATTCACCTTGTCATAGCATTTCAGTTGTTCATTCCATCATGTGAATGAAGAAGACAAGAGGAGTCCAGAGGAAGGGGGTGCTTCTCAAGATCACTCATCCAGCTCTGTTCAAAGATAAGAGTAGACCCTTCCCCTGATTGGGCTTAGGACCTCTCTCTTGTTCAGAACTCCCCTGGTCCTAGTTAACCATTGTCAATCAATAGTAGGGTTTTCTGTATTTTCATAATATGAGGGGTAAAAAGTGTATGAAATGGCATAATCATGTTAATTTATTCTAGAATATGTTTTAAATGAGTAATTTAGAAGAATTACTAACTATGGTATAAAATTTGAATGAACATGAAGAAACTTGTTGGGGTCTTCTAAAACCAAAACCATGCTCATTACCTGTAAGTCAGTTCTGCCTAATAATAACCCTGTGAGACAAACGGTTTCCCAGCCTCCAAATCTCTATAGGAGCAAACGGCTACCCCTTGCTCCTGTAGAGTAGCAGGTGTTTGTGCCACCGCCCGTGTGGCAACAGCCACAGGCTTAATCCATTGAACTACCAGGGGTCCTTCCTGGGTTTTCCATCTGTTCAACTTAATGTTCACGTTATGTCTATATAGCTGCAGTCAAACGTGGTTCACACAAATGAAGCAGGGAGGAGGCTTACATGAGTGATTCTATATTAAATGAAACACGGTAAACCAAAGATCATGGGAGAAAGAGTGTTACTGGGCCTAGTATTATTTTTCATACCGATCCAAGGACTGACTTTGGTTACGACATTGGACAGTCTTGAATAATTGGATGGAGTGGGAACTTAAATAATTGAATCCTGTCTACACAATAATTTCATCTCCGTTTGCTCTTGATTGTCAGGAAAGTAATTGTTCAAAATTGAAAAGCTGGGTGGCTCCTAGTTCACTTTTGCTTCAGTGATTTCAGCGGTCTGGCTGAACTGAAAAGAAGTGGCCATGTCTTCACATCCAGGCTGCCTAAGTGTGAATGGGAATTTAGAGGAATTTCGTTAAAGAAGGAGGGACATTTAATGTTATGCTTGAGGCAGTAAATTCATTAAAAGTATGACATTCATTAGTTTGTCTTGCTTTTCTTATGGGAACTAACAATGAAATTAATTATTTAGGCATGTAGCATTCATTTTTTATTCCCATGGTAATTCATAGTCTTGTAGTTTGATTTTAAACATCAGGCCACAAGTTGCTTGCTCATTTTTGTACAGCTATGAAATCATCAAATATTTTCTGCTACTAGTAAAGAATACATGTTTTGCTAGAAGGATTTTTATTTACTATGGTTACTCTTTCCAACAGACAAACTCAGGCATCCTGGGTTCTTGTGGGTGCAAAGAAATAACAGCTTTTTCTGGTCTCTTGCAGTGCCCCCTGCCTTGCTTTTTGCCCTTGATTTCTATTTTCTTACCCTGATCCTGTTGTACGTATTTGTGCATCCCTCATTTCTCCCTCACATACCCAGCTGCCTCCTAGCTCTTGCAGACACATATCTTGTGATTTTTTTTTGTCTGAAATAGTCTTTCTTCCTTTTTAATTTCAAATATTACTCATCCTTTAAGACTCAGTTTTAGCTGATTTCTACTCTGTTTAATCACTTCTCAATGCCTCAATTGGTCTATACATAAAACCTGAAGCATTTCATTGTACTCTAACTTATTTTCTGTCATGGCATCTTGTTCCTTTTCTCTTACTCATTATCATGTACTGATATTTTGTAAGTTTTTTTTAAAAAACATATATAAAGGTAAGAATTGCACGCATAAATTCATCCATGTATAATTCAATGATTTGAGAATGTTTTGTTGTTTCCTCAATTGTGATGAGTTTACTTTTAATCTCTTGTTTTCAAAATTCTGTCTACATTTTCCACCAATGTGATGCATTGGTTAGGGTGAGTAAATTTGACCTTTATCCTACTTGGGATTTGTTGAAATTCTTGGGGTTTTACAGAAATCTTGTTCTTGAAATATGGATATATTTTGCATAATTATTTATTTAAAAATATTTTCTGGCCCTTTCCACTTTGACCGGGACTTCCATCGCACATACATTTGCCTGCTGAATGCTGTTCCACAGTCTTCTAAGGCTCTGATCTTTCTTCCTCTCTGTGGATGTTTTCTGTCTTTCATATGATATCATTTCTGTTGATGTAAGTCTTCTGTCATTATGAAATACTGTGGTGGCTTGTGTGTTGCTATGATGCTAAAAACGATGTCACTGGTATTTCAAATATCAGCAGCATTATCAGTGTGAAGAGAGTCCAGACTAAGAACAAACTATGAGTAAAGTTGTCCACTTCAGTGGTTCTAGCCACCGAAAACCTTTTGATTGCTTTGAAACATTGGCAGATACTGAAAACTCTATGATAGAAGCAGAAGATTGTCAGTTACAGCCAGAAGATGAGTTCTCAGGCTGGAAGACACTCAAAATATGACCGAGGAAGAGGTACCTTCTCAGAGTAGAGTCGACCATAATGACATGGACTGAGTAAAGCCTGGAGTAAAGCCTGCAGGCCTTGAATTTGTGGATGGGCATGACTCAAAAATAAGAAGACACAGGTGTGAACATCAGTTGATAAATGGACCCTGGAATGTGCACAGCATAGACATAGGAAAACTGGAAGTTGTCAAACAATGAAATGGAATGTATACGGATGGATATTGTAGGCATCAGTGAGCTGAAATGGACTGATACTCGATTTTTAATCAGAAAATTACAGTGTTTACTATGCAGAGTAACAGATTCAAGAGGAATGACATCACACTTATCTTCCAAAAGGACATTTCAAGATGTATCTTAAAGAAAAATGATGTCTGTGATAGGATAAAGTTTATACGAATACAAGGAAATCCAGTCAATGCAGCCATTATTCAAAGTTTTGCACCAACCACTAAAGTAAGTGATGTAGAAATCAAGGAATTCTACCAACATATTCAGTTTGACATTGATCCAACATGCAGTCATGATGCAGTGATAATTATTGGCAATTCAACTGCAAAAGTTGGAAACCACGAGGAACAGTAGTTTGAAAATATGGTCTTGGTGATAGAAGCAAACCTGAGGGTTGCATGAAAGAATGTTGTAAGACCAATAACTTCTTCATTACAAAAGCTTTTTAAAACAACGTAAATGACAACTATACACATAGGCTTTTCCAGATGGAACACAGAGAAATTAAACTGACTATACATGTGGCAAGAGATTATGGAGAAGCTCAATATCAGCAGCTAAAAGGAAGCCTGGGACTGCCTATGGAAAAGATGATCAATTTCTCATGGGTAAGTTCAGGTTGAAACTGAAGAAAATTCAAACAAGTCCATGAGAGTCAAAGTATGATCTTGAGTCTAGACCACCTGAATTTTGTGAACATCTCAAGAACAGATCTGGCCCATTTAACACTAATGACAGAAGACCTTATGAGCTGTGGGGTCACATCAAGAACATCATATCTGAAGAAAATTAAAGGCCACTGAAAAGATAAGAAAAATGAAAAAACCATAGTAGATGTCAGAAGAGACTGTGAAACTTGTTCTTAATTGTAGA